CAGGTTTTTATCGGAACTCTTTATTGAGCCTTACGTTTCGGCGGAAATACGCCGTCCTCAGAGGCCTGAAAGCGATTCAATCACTTTCATCAAACGCTTTATGTGATCAAACGCCTTAACCAACTCGTACGTTCGATTCGTCTAAAGTGATCGGAGTCTGAATTTCGTATACTGTCGGCTGGCATTCTGAACATTCTGAATAAAAGTCGCAGTATCAAACAATCTAATTTAACTCACGCACAAAGGCAGGGATTCAAGGAGCTACGTGAACTTACATCTAATGGGACCCTCCGACTTTCGATTAGCGACAAAGGAGGCGAATTTGTTATCATGCCTCAGACACTAGACCGTGACATTACCGAATATCACTTATCCAATAATTCAGTGTATCGTCGCTCAACAGAGAAAGAATTTCTTTCTCAATGCAAACGACTGAACCATATGTGGATGGTGATTGGCAAGCAGGCCGGTTTAGAAGAAAGGTTCCTCAGTCGGCTCAAGATTGAAAATCCGATCTGCCCTGTCTTCTACAGCCTCGTTGAAACGCATAAGCTCTCGACCGATCCAAGAAATGTGTCAGCTGCAAATTGTAAAATTCGACCAATCATCAGTTGCGTTGGAGGGCCGACAGACAGAATTGCATGGTTCCTGAACAAGATTGTCAGCCAACTCTTAAGTACGATCCCCGCTCATCTGCCAAATACCAATCGCTTCCTTGAACAATTACGCAATACGAATTTCGATCAGCATTGTGTAATAGAGTCTTTTGATGTGGAGTCATTATACACAAACGTGTCTAATGATGACGCCTTACAGGCACTTTCTGAGCTCCTCGATTCACATATCACAAATATGGAAACCTACGGACTCAGTAAAGTACGCATCACTGCTCTTATCAAGGAATGCCTTGGATGTAATATCTTCAGATGGGCGGGCAAGTATTACCAACAGCTAAGAGGGCTGGCGATGGGGCAAAGACTAGCTCCGGTCCCTGCTATCTGCTTTATGAGCAAGATAGAAGAGCCGGTATTGACGCGACGTCCCCTTTTGTACTGCCGCTATATAGACGATTGTTTCATTGTCACATCGACTCAGTCCGAAATGGATGAGTGCTTCAAGGTCCTCAATGAACAATCGCAGTACATTTGCTTGACCAGAGAAGAACCACACAATGGCCGGCTACCCTTTCTCAACACACAGGTAATGTTGGCTAAAGGCGCTGTACACATTAAATGGTATCGGAAAGAGAGCAGCAAGAACATTATTTTGCACGCGACCTCTGCTCATCCAGCTGCCGTGAAACGTGCGGTTATCCGCAACATGTTCAGAACAGCAAGCAGCGTATGCAGCGGCGAAAGTGAAAGACTTGAGTCTCTCGAAATGGCACGCGTCATCGTTTCCAACAACGGATACCCACTGCAGCCCAAAACCTCCAGGCGAACACGCATGAACGCAAGCAACCAAAGTCGAACACGCATTCCTTTGTGCTTGCCGTTCATATCCGACAAAGTGACCAATGCAGTTAGGCGATGTATAGCGCAAGCGCAGTTGGAGGATGATGTTGTCTTAGTGAATATACCACAAGACAGCATCAGAAAACAACTGGTTCGAAATCGATTGTACGATAAAGCTTGCAAGTCGCAAAACTGCGTTGTGTGCACGAATGGAAGGTCAGGGGATTGCTCACGAAGTGGTGTAGTTTATCAGTTGGAATGTCAAACATGCCGGGCCACTTACATCGGTGAGACAGGTCGACCACTTTCAGTGCGTGTAAATGAACATCTGGCCAGTAAACGAAGACAGAGCCTCGTTAGCCCATTGGGGAAACATAGGAAGGAGGACCATGAAGGCGAAGATTTTGAAATAAGTTGTAACATACTGGCAGTCGAGGATAACATCTCAGCTCGGAAAGCGTTGGAAGCCGCATACATTCTTACTCGGAATCCGAAAATGAACAGCAAGAATGAACAGTTGTCGATCACAAATGATCTTAAGCCGTTCTTATCATTTTGCGGTTTCTAGATAACCTACAGCTACATAAACATGTCCAACTCAGCTGGACTGTTCATTGTCACCATATCCTGTAGGCGACCGAAAGAGCTTTTGTCGTGCTCTTCTGTGGAACTCTTGGTAAGTTGATTCGGCTGGATGCTAGACTCCGATCACTTTGGACGAATCAAACGTACGAGTTGGTTAAGGCGTTGATCGTTGAGCGTTTGATCGCATAAAGCGTTTGATGAAAGTGATTGAATCGCTTTCAGGCCTCTGAGGACGGCGTATTTCCGCCGAAACGTAAGGCTCAATAAAGAGTTCCGATAAAAACCTGTTGTGGCATAAAAAAAGTTATACGATATACTGTCAACATGCCAAGGTTTAAAGAAAGGAGGACTTATGAAGTACTTCGAAACGTGGCTCCATTTAATTATTCTTGATCCTCGCGCATGGCCTCGCAGCTGGTTTTGGCTAAAATATTGACGATCTATTGACCCGAAACTCCACCCACAGTAGTTTTTAAACCCACTCTTAACGGGAGCTCTAGTTATTCCGCGCTAAAGAGTTTTACAGTGGAGTTCTAGATGGAAAAAATTTGAATGAAATGCGCAAGATTGAAGATTCGTTCGCACCTCGTCCCTTTATCAAAGAACTTGTTTGCTTGTTTTTGCAAATTAAAAACTTTGTAGAAGCTATCGGGTCGTGCTTAGCGCAGGCCCCTCTCTGCCTGTTCATCAAATTATGAGGTTACGAACTCACGTTTTCATGAATTTTTTCCCAAATTTGAGAGTCGTGTATTTCAGCCGAATCTCATTCCCATAACGTGCCACCAGTCTTTTGCCATCAACAAAAATTTTGTCAATTTTTGAAATGGCACGCGAATCCCGTACAGTAAAGATAAAAGATTGCTGAAGCGTACAACCTTTTGACTTCACAATATCCAGATATCGCGGCTTTTCAAAATTTCTATTCGAATTCATGCGAGTTTATGCGAGTTTGGCCACTTTCAACTGTGAGCTGTAGGCCCGCCCACTTGTAGTGAACCTCAATCAATGTTTTTCGTATTTGAACTTTCAAAGTACTACCATACAGCTTTCAACTGGCCTTCCTAGCATCGAAGTGGACGAATTGCAGAGTTTTGAAATTATACACATATGTGCGGAACTACGATTTTTGAGTGCAAGCTCCGCCCACTTTCAAAACATTTAATTTCTTATAGGGAAAAAACTTACAAAGTGATAGCTGCAATGCTAGCGGCGTTACAAAAATTATCAGATTCTATCAATCTGTTGATAAGTCAATCATATTATTGAAAAAAAAGTGATAAACTAGGTTGACAGTGCTGGAGACTCACGATTATACTTTTGCTGATGGTACTTTGTATAAATACTGTAGGAGTAAAATCAAAAGTCATTTTGCGTTCATTTATAATCTTCAATTATGTTCTGCTAACAGATTTTGTAAGGGTACAACCCAATACTCAATGCGGATAAAAATCATTGGTTGATATCATTCGATAGAGCATCTTTTCTATTTTTTCAATCGTTGAGCAGAACGCAAAAAGTTTCTTAGTGAAAGCGAAAATGGCTAACAAATTTCGAAGATATCCTCATCTCTCTAAAATCTATCCGTAGTCCTACATAAAGAAGCTATCTTGCTAGTCAGATGTTTGTAATGAACGGGTCGGACAACATCTATGGCCCAGTTTTAAGGAACTAGTGGCACTTTGATTTTTTCTCGCTCCTCACTCTTGACCTCGGTGCAGAATTTGGTCAAAATATTGAGATTCTCGGATAGATTGGAAACTTCGCTCATAATGTTTTTTGGGCCCGATCTTTACGGTAATCTTACTTATATTGCACTAAAGAGTTTTACAGTAAAGCTAAAGGAGGTAGAAATAGCCGACCCTCAAGATCGCAACTTCACTTGCTCTTTTCACCTATCTGTTGCGAAAATTGTCTGCATACTTTTGTGCGTTCAAAACTTTGTGAACAGTTCTATCGGACCATGCTTAGCACAGATCTTTATCTGCATTGTTCGTCAGATTATGATGTTACAAAATCGCTTTCTCATGAATTGTCTCTCAAATTTGAAAGTCGTGTATTTGGCCAGTTTTCTATCCGTGCCACCAGCAGCAAAACAGTGTAAATGGTGTTATTAGCACGTTGAATAATCCATACAAGCGGAAATTATAAGACTTGCTTCATACAAGCATTCGAATAGCTATGACTTTAAAATGTGAGAATTCTCGGCGATATCGGCAGCGGCGACTTCGCCGAAAATTCTCACATTTGACTGTCATAACTGTAGAGAGACCAAAAAAGTATTCAATTGATGCTCGGGGCTTAAAATTGAGAATTTAAAGTACCCCGAAAGTGCAAAAATGTCACATATTTCGAATTATTTTCATGTTTAGCATGGTATCTCTTAATTACTAGGGTGCAGAGGTAAAATTTCAAAGACGTACTTACTAAGGCTTGCAGTATACAAAGACATATGTGAGACGGGCTCGGGGTGGATTTTGTTGGAGTAACTTTATTTTCTCGCTTCCTAAGAGAGAGAGCGAAAAAAATTCCAGCAAAGGATTTTCGAGTGCTACAATGCGTCTACTTATGATAGTCAAGGCCGTAGGATTCTTCTACATGAAATCAAATTTTTAGGTGAAAATTTTTTTTCGATTTTGGCTCTGAACTTTACCTGCAATTTAACTTAGGAGGGACTTTGACGGTCACTTTGTAAAGCTTGCTTCGCTCCATCAGATGATACGCCAAATCTGCTGAGAAACAATAACGCTTTACTCACTTAGGAGCCCTTTTTAGAAAACAACCTAAAAGCTGCGAGCGACTTAAGTACAACTTTGCTACTGCAGTGTTATTTCTCAGGCACTTTTGTTGAACTCAAACTATTTATTTATAATTCTTTTTAGTTTTGTTATTTTTGAACTGCAATCATCATATTTAGAATGCTAATGTAATGCACTGACTATAATTTTAAATAAAATAGCTCACATGATTGAAAGACTTCAAACATTTGAACAATAGAACATTTTTCAATGTGCATTTCAGCAGGAATGTAATCGAAACCGAAACCGCTATCAAAACTCTGTAATGGTTTATTTTGAAAATTATTGTGAATAACTTGCGTTGTGTATTTAGACAATGTGAGCGGACGAGCCATGGTCGTTACTCACTACACTGGGCGAGGGCAGGTCACTCGGATCGGCCCGCGATAGCGCTGTAACGAAATAAGGGCACTCAGTCAGACGCTGTAATGCGACCCAACCACTCTCCTTGATGCAATAAGTCTAGAATGCAGTGGGCGAGCGGCGACCTTTAACTCATGCGACCGTGAGGATCTTGATTCACTGTAGCAAACATTCTCCGGGCGGAGCGCGAAAGCTGCGAACACCCAGGTGGGTGTAATTGCCCGGTGTAAATTTAGGGCCACGACTGGTCCGCTCCTGTCTGAGTGATGTCCTTACTTTATTGTTTGCGGCGACTAAAAGACACATTTGAACCAGTGCTACGCTATTACTTAGTCCATAATTTATGCTTCTGGAAGAAGATGTAAGAACTGACATAAGCCTGTTTTACCTTTTGCGCATAATGTGAATTATAAAAACCTACCTCATAAACGACCCATTCCATACCATGCTCCTGTTATTGTTGTTTAAAAGATTAAAGAACAGAACAGGTAAGAGGTACACTCACTCCATAACCTCTATTGGGCCCTCCTTCTTTTCTTCGTTTGTGTGAATTACAAAGGAAAGCTTCTTTCCGTCAAATGACTTGAAAGTTATGCCGAGATTTCTAGGTAACATGCTTAACCGACATTTTTCGAATTTTGTCAGCCTACAGTTTTCTCGAATCCATGTCTTCAAGCAGCTCCTTCTCGGTTGCGTAATTATGCTTGTTCTTCTAAAACCAAAATTTAAAACAATTGAGTTTGCGTAGGTTGTTACATAAGTCTCCTTATAGACTTTCTACCACAATACAAATTTTCGATGTGGCCTGGATACCTTTCGATAAAACAGAGCAAGCTCCATAATAAGGCTCGTAAAGTTCGCACTAAACTTTTATCCATAGTGAAACTTCAAGAAATTCTGAGTGCACAAAAATCGAGAATAGTTTAGAAGTCGAAGCTGTGCTGTTTCCATCCATGCATCCATGTATAGTACAAACACTTAGAAGTATATTCGTGAAATTTTAGCTTTTTTGCAAGCTATAGTTTTTGAAAAATAGTGTTTTTTCGCATGGAACACTCAAGTGATGAAAATTCAACCAGGCAGTTTTTGGAAACTAGGGCCTGTAGAAAGCGGAAGACTTACGGCTATACTTCTAGGGGCTTGTACTTTAAAATTATATGAGTGGAAACAGCACAGCTTCGTTTTTGTACAAGTGAGAACTTTTGCTTTTTTTCCCCTAAATAAAGAAAAAATACAGCAGCAAGACATAGGTGTCTGATGTGGTGTGCAATTTGCTTGAGCAACTGCTTGAGATCCCTAGAATTTTTTCTAAACCAGATATAAATTTTTCACAATTTTTTGAGCCTTCAGTACTACTCAGTTGTAAATGCAAACTTACGGTGGGTCAAAGTTGGTGCGAGGTTTTGCATACCATCTTGTGTGCTTGCTTTGCTCTATCGAATGTTATCCCTATCGGATGTACATGCATATAGTCTAAGATGTCGGAAGACTTCGAGCCAACCCAATAGCACAAAACACTCGAATAAGAGCTAGATCCAGATAATTCTCGAAAACTCACGCTTATAAATTGCCAAAAATACTTTAGAAGCTTACGTGTACAACTATGATCGGTTGCCAGATTGTACAGGGACATGTTTTGGACAGATTATAAGGATGAATTCGTTGTTTTATGTCATAGCACTGTTTCTCGCACTTCCTCGCTATGAGAAACTGTCACGATTTGAGCGGCCACGACTCCGCTTCTATACGAATCGTAGAGCCGATAATAGTTATGTAAAAACAACAGAGCTTGGTGTATGTACCATGAGAATTTTCGTTTCTTAATTCCAAGGCGAGAAAAATTACAGCAGTTGCATATGTGTGTTCGATGTTATCGAGATCCTTGAAGACGATAATATTAATAGGTAGCATTTCTCAATTTTTGATTCATAATTTTTTAGAGATTAGCTCCAAACTTGAGGTAAATCGAAATTAAAGCGAAAAAACGCCATCTTTAAGGATGCTTTGCTCTATCAAGTGGTGCCCTGAATCCCTACCAGAAATGAGAAGTAGTCAAAGTGTAACAAGTATTATGTAACAGCCTATAAAACCTCTATGAAGGTGGTTGCACAGCTGGTGAAGTGCTCTAGCTTATGGGTTTTACTTGCGTTGTTTTGTTGAAATTTACGGATTTTTCAATAGATCTGACCAGAGCACAATCCGAAACAATGTCATTTCCTGTGGCACTTGACGCTATGCTACAAGGCTTTAGCAGTAAGTTTGAGAATGCGGCAAGGACTGAGTCGTCATACGGTAGCTGCACTTACTCCGTACCCATGTCGTGAGCAACTACCAACTGCGCAGATGCATCTTCGCGTTTCTAAAATTTCACAAACCTTCAAAACTTTGCGAAAACTTTTATCGGAATCTGAAAATTACCCATTTATGTAAAAAAGTGGCCCGCCCTCTCCGGTCAATCGCGGACCGCACCGCTGCTACTTTCAACGAGTACAAACAGGCAAAATGCAGCATTCTTACTTCGAGTACCAAAAGTACAATTGCAGAAAAGAAAGCGATTTGGAGAACAACTGAGGCGATTCAAATTACGCAAAGACAGACCGCCATTGCGGAGACGTCGGCCTCTTTCAGCAAGGAACTATTCGAGACCGGCACTGCCTAACCCTTGTGCGATGTACATCAAGACATTCATCGACGATCTCAAAGCTATGTTTTCATGTACCAAGCAAAACAAGTTGTTTGAAAAATGGTATTTTGAAACGCTTTCAACTTTTTCCAGAAGACAGCTATGTTAATAAGCGTTCAACCAAAATTAAAAGCATATATTCATATGGAAAAGCTACGGTAAACTAGCTTCCTTCGTCAGACCAGATATGTTTTCATTTCTCTGGCCGTTGCGGCTATTTTGAACACGAACTGCCTTAATCGGCAAATCCTTGTAGTTCCTGCGTGCGATAAATTATCCGTATCGTTTTCTGAATGTCAACTCACATATGGCTTTAAGAGAGCTTCTATGTCATATTTATTCGGACCATCATTTCTGAAACATGAAAAGTTACTCAATGTAGAGAGTTTGGTTAGAAACTCACACATAGTTAAGTTGAGTTAACGAGCACATCCAACCCTCAAATCTAGGCATATTTTCCAACGTCAAATTTATTTCGACCTAAAATTGCTATATCTACAACTTTGGGTTTTAGCTGTGTAATACCGTAGAAAATTTCATTGATAAAGTTTCGAGATGTAAGGCTTGTGAGTCTTTTAATTAAGCACCTTTTCAGTGTAAGCCACTGTAGGCCACAAAGCACCAATGTAAGCTGATTTGCATGAGCTGCAACTTAAAAACTCCAGCACCTGACGACGGACAAACAATATTTGAATGAACAGCCTTGAACGCGGCGCGCGCATGTCTGCTCCGTTGCAAACACTGCTCCTCGTGCTTTCTATAACTGTAAAGCCGCTTTCGAGCCCCGGTTCGCCGAGCCTGTGTTTAATCTTAAATTGTTGTTATACTTAGAATATCTTACAAGGAGAGGATACTTAGTCGAAAGCACCAATCCAGATGAGACATACATCATCTTAAAGTGCTTGAAACGCTGATTCCAAATCTGTAATTTCTAGCTGCGGAGCGATTATCTAGAAGGAGTTATAAAGGGTGTTCCCCTCTGGGGTTGAGGCGCCCTCAAGCGGTCTCCCCTTATCTATGAGCACTGCAGAGGAGTATCAGTTGGTGGCAATTGGCCTAATGGTAAGTAACTTGAATGAAGATTACAATAAGGATTGTAATATTCGTGTTACTTTGGTTTTTTTCAAAAATTCTAACTTCGATTAGCATCAATATCATCAGAAATTTTAAACTTTAGGACTCTGGAGCCATTTAGAAGCTCAATTTGGCAAAAACTGCGATACAGTTGCATGCCAAGGGGTTTAACCTTGACACTCTCCTTATCAAGCACGTCACTTACCACCAGATCAGTTGCCACCAATTGGTACTCCTCTACAGTGCTCATAGGTAGGGGGAGACCTGGTGGAGGGCGCCTCAACCTCAGAGTGAAACAACCCTCATAACTCCCTCTACAAAACCGCTCCGCAGCTAGAAACTGCAGATTTGGAATCAGCGTTTTGAGCGCTCTAAGATGATATATGTCTCATCTGAATCGGTGCTTTCGACTGTATCCTTTCCTTGTTAAAACACTGATTATGTTGCAAGTGCTGTTCACCAAAGCTCTTAGAATTCCATAGCTTACTAGCAGCTTGTTCGCAACCCAATGAATCATAGTATCCTTCATTCATTGAGAGTGGCGGCTGATGGGTGGGGCTGTTTGGGACTGTTTGGGGCTCCGCACCTCATTCGCGGGCGTACTCTCTGATCATTTTCCCGATATGAGTGTAAAAAAGGCAGAGCTTATATCATAGAGAGCGAAAGAGGTGAGAGCTATGCTAGGCGGCTTCGCAGAGTAAGCAGCACCCACTGCCGCCACTTCTGGTGAATTAGTGAATCCGTCTCCAACCAGGTTCTCGATGCCGTTCGACAAAGCAACGCTCCACGAGACTATATCTGAATTTGACCTACTCGAAGTTTAAAGCCGAAAAATAAGAAAATCGCATTGCTCAGAAAATGAAAGGGAACCTAACCGTAGAAGAATTTTGCTAATCTCTCGCTCAATCAATTAGGCATGTTCATTTTACATAACAATTCATATAAACCGATGCTTTGTTTTTCTTTTTCTACAAACACAAAAAAAACGAATGTTCATAATTAACAAAGTGATTTTGGGCTGTTCTCACAAGTAGCTGTATATATATATTAGGCTGGAAACTAAGTTTTGCAGCTGGTTTCATAACTTCACTCTCTTTGGACATGGCGCACTCAAACTTTGGATTATGTAGAAGGCAATGTGGGCTATAAGTGAGCACAAATTGTCTAAAGTTTGAACACGAAATAGAAAAGTTTCAGGCGTTCTTTCGAAAACTAGTGAAATTTGAGAATTTTTGGGGTTTCAAGTTAAAATGAAGCCTTTGGCAGCCTAGACCATGCGCAATAATCCGGATTCGTCTATAAATTATTGCTGGAGGTTGACTCCTTTGGCCCAGTAAGAAAGAAACAAAATTAAGGGCATGTCGAGATTTGGCGTCCTCATAAAATCGAACGAGTCGATGTACGCAAGAGCTGTTGTGGACGACCGTCAATGACTAAAGAGTCCGAAGCTCAAATTCCGCCGGGACTTTAATACTAGGGTTATTTGACCTGCCAGACGCGAATATCACATTCATTTTTAATCAACGCCTTTCTCTTTGTTTAGGGTGCGACCCCATATCGTACACCTACAGTATTCTTACAAAAAAGCCCTTATCACACAGATTCACTATCGTTTTCGTGATCAGCATGTCGGATAACACCCCTGTGCCAAGTTTCAGCCAAATCCGTCAAACTTTGAATTTTTCCCCTTCATACCATGCATTTACCGTAACCCTGACTGCGACGTCAGAATTTGGTAGGACAACAGCTGCGCTTGTAGCTTACGTAATAACCAACGCAGTGGCAAAATTTGAGTGCGTCATGTTGAGTGAGAGGGAAGTTATGAGACCAGCTGCAAAACTTAGTTTCCAACCTAATACTACAGACCTTTGAAAATACAATATGATTCTAGTTTTCCAAAGCTTAGTTTTCAAGAATCATTAAGAGTGAAATCACTTTTTTTTTAGAAAATTTTTTCAAATCTCTTTCTGAAGGAGAATTGCAGCAGCTATCAGATTGTCCCATAAGTTCTATCTGTTTTGAATTTCACCCGCCATAGGTTAAACACTTCTCATTTTTGGATAGAGAATCGCAACTTCTAAACAGGTAGCAAAGTACCGTTCGATAGCGCAAAGCAAGATGACAATCTTGTTTTTGTACCAATATGATCCACTTAGAGGTTTAAGCCAAAAACTATAAGGATTCACCTGCCTGAAAAATCGAGGAAAATTCTACATCCGCTCAAAAAAACTACGAAAATTCTAATTTGCTTACGTATACAATACCCACATGAGACATTTATGAACGTCGTTGCCGTAACTTTTCCTCAGTTAGAAATCAAGAAAACAAAGTGCATGCTTTTATCAAAGTGATGCTGTGCTGCCTTCACATGAATAATTGTATACTACTAACGGTAAAAGTACAAACATAAATCTTTCACCTCTTCATAAGCTTTGGTTTTCTAGAAATATGAAATTGGTGTAAGTCACTCGACCAAGAGAAACTATTAGGTTGTCCCAAAAGTTTTGTCCGTTTTTTCAACCTATCATAAAAAGGCGTGGAACGAAGATGGGGAAACGCTTTAAGCACTATCCGACGCCTCTTTTCCTTCTCTTTCTAACTGTCATGCTTACATGCCGATTAATCTTTTGTTCACTATGATAAACGCTGAAATTTCGAACCCATGGTTTTCACTATGTCCAAGTTTGGCAATTTTTCACAATCTTTATTTTCGACTTTCGGAAAAGCTTTGGCAGAGATAGAGCAAACAAAGGGCAATATAATGCAATTTTGCGGCATCTATAGCCACCCTTGAAAATTTTTTAGAATTAGTTTTCTGATGCTATCAAATTCCACTTTTGGTGATGCCAAAAGCCAGAGATCATGAAACGGAGCACAACTCAACTGTTATTCGATGCAGCTTTTCTTCCTCTTTCCAGTGAGTGTATTTTCTCTCCAATTTGCGAAGTCCTTGGCGATATAATTTACATAATTATTGAATTTGACCCCCACCCCAGCGTGTACACGTAAAATGCAAAATCTTATATTTCAACGGTTAACGCTCATTTGCTTCGTAAAAATAGTGAACAATCGTAATCGGTTTTTGAAAGCTTCAAAATCCGATGATTTGTTAGTGTTCGAGGAGTTTCTGTATTCTAGAACTTTGCAAAAGTGAAGACTTTTGAAAATTTTATCTTTAAAAATATTGAAAATCGCTAGATAGGCTAATAATTGCATTGCATTGCCCTTTGCTTACTCTATCTGAGGGCTGTCAAAGCTCTTCCAAAAGTTGAAAATGAAGACTGTGAAAAACTGCCAAACTTGGACATAGTAAAAACCATGGGATCGAAATTTCGGCGTTTATCTCAGTGAACAAAAGAGTAATCGGCATGAGGGCTTGATAGTTGGAAAGAGAGGGAAAGATGCGTCGGATAGTGCTTAAAGTGTTTCCCTATCTTCGTCCCACGCCTTTTTATGATAGGTTGAAAAAACGGACAAAACTTTCAAGACAACCTAATATACAGGGTGTCCCAAAAAAATGTGCCTACTGTTTGATTGTAAATAACTCTCTTGTAATGAAGTGTTTCGAGAAGCTTCAGGTACAGTTTTGTAGAGCGAGGTTGAACTTAGATTTACAGTATGGAACAAATCATCTATCGCTCTTCATTACTGTAAGATTACGGTATGAACTTCCAGCATATGGAACCATTGTGAAATATACCATTTAACAAAATTTTTTTCAAAAAATCTGAAAAATTGTATACTAGGGTTTTCGCGCATGCTGATTCCACTTAACAACTTTTTACAGTGTTTTCAGCTTTTTTGACGGTGTAATTACATTTCTGACAAATGCAAGGAATTGGTTTATCACGATTTACCGGCGATAACTTAGGAAAGAAGCATCACAGTAAAATGGGAATTTCAAATTCGAGATCAGCGGCTCCCATTACCGTAATGTAAGAGTTTCTGGCTTGTTTGGTTTTATTCCGAGGCAGAATATAGCCTCCAATGACATAAAATCCTTGTCGAAGTTCGTACCGTAATTCTACAGTAATGAAGAGCGATATATGATTCGCTCCCATAATGCAAATCTAAGTTCAAGCTCGCTTTACAAAACGGTACCTAAAGCTTCTCTAAACACTTCATTACAAGAGAGTTATTTACAATCAAACAGTAGGCACATTTTTTTGGGACACCCTGTATTTGATACTTTTTGAAAACTAAAGCTTGTAAGGAGCTGAAAATTTACTGTAGCATACGATTACTTATGGGGGGACAGCACAGCATCACTTTAAAAAAAGCATGAAGATCGTTTTCTTTAATTCTAACTTAGGAAAAACTTCAACGACGTAAGTGTCTTGTGTTGATAGTGCACACGTAAGCAATTTGGAATTTTTGTACTACATTTTCGGGGTTACAAGTTTTTT